TCACTGACCGGTGCTGAGCTGGATTCTCGTCGTTGGCCGACACGTCAACTGCTCGAAGGGAATATTCCAGCCGGCTCCACAGTTTTGTGAAGTTTATTCGTTTTTTTATGTACTCTAATAACATAACATTTATAGAATCTGAATCTCACAATATATATGGGCCCATATATACACAGATATCACATATACATATAATGATTCGTTTTTTTTGTTCAAAAAAAAAACTCTACTGCGATTGACATATATATATATAATCTCCACAAAAAAAGTATGCTATATTTAAATTTTTCACTCTAACTAGTTTTAAAAATATATTTTTCAGGAATTTTTTAGTCAGTTTTTATTATTATTATAATTCGGAATTAATAACTTCTCCTATAAATGAGGTCGCATGCTATGGAACAAGTGTGCAAGACTGCAAGGTTAATACTCTACTTTAATAAATTTATTTATTTATTCGTTTTTCTTATGTAGGGGTCTAATCATGTTATGCGCAGTGGCATCTTTAAGTACCACTCCTTCGCTTAGTGAGAAATAATTGGGCCTTTAATGACCTACCCAACTCTAAACGATAATATATTTTTAATCAAATCTTTCTTTTTTTGGGCCTAATCAAAGATTCATTTTTTAATTTGTTTGGGAGATAATTACACTGAAAGACACTTTTATAACTCAAATAACAAAAAAGTAACTTTTAGCTATTGGATAACTTATTTCACTGTTTACGCTCAAATAACCCGAAATTACCCTTCGTGGATACGATGTGGATTCGAAGAAGTGGATAGTAAATTAAAACTAAAATTTAAAAATAATTATTAGTTTTTCCCATCTGTTTTGTTTTGTATTTTCCTGTATTGTGAAAAACATAAAATATTTTTTTTATTAAAATGAGTTATAATTTCATTTTCTCATTGTTTTAAGATCCATTATACTATAGTTTATTTATCAAGCAAAAAAATTTTCAAAAACATATGTATAAAATTTTAAAAAATCAAAAGTATAGGTAGATATCCACTCCGATAATATGACGTGGATGATGTATAATGGATATATAACATAGACATGATTGGGTGGATATGTTTCATTGATATATTCGACATAGATATACATTTTACATTGTCCTTAAGGAGGACGTGGAACTCATACATAGATCCCTATCTATGGATATCGGACAATCCTGATCTATCTATCCAAGAGATCAAACCGACTATGATCCCTGAAGGGTTTCCAAAAGCTCAGCATTTTTA